AGTTCTACTTCTATATACGAGAATTATGTCAATAATATCGTGTGCCTTCATTTCTATTTATAATAGGTAATATGTAGGATATTTCGATTAAGTAGGTAGGTAGGTACCTATATGGTGGCTATTGTTTTGTAAACGCAAGGCTAGATAAAAAAAAAAAAAAAAGCATTATAATAATAATAGGCAATTGCGCAGGTAGGTTAGGTATATAACAGAAAAATTCGTATCCGAAGGTCAATTACTCATAATATATGAAGGTATATAGGTACTCACTATATTATTATAATATAGTTAGGTAAGTACGCAGTTGTAACTTGCGTGTACCTATTCAAAGGACCACGTTTAGAACGTCGCATAATTATTGTGATCTGATAATACGAATATCATATATACAGAACAAATACAATACTTATACAGAATGTTTCGCAAAGATATACCCATTGTAATATCTTCCGAGATAATAAAGATGTTTAAAGTTTTTTTTTAACATTAATCATTTTTATGTTAATAAAAACTTTTTTTTTCTGAATTTTAAAATATTATAAAAAATCAAGAATTTACGAAGTATATTATTTTAAAATCGTAAATACTACGGCCTTTTCGGCCTTTTCGGTGTAACCGAACTCCACTCAGAATCGCTTTTAGATAGTAATGGTTAATCATTGTATACAGATGTACATTAAATTTCCCCTCTACCTCCCCAACTTCTCACCTACAACAATGGCCAACGTGAGAAGTGTGTCCATTTTTTTTTTTTTTTTTTAAATAAATTCGTACCTATTCTTTTATATACGAATGGTTGACATAGATATTGTTAAGTATAGTTAGATATACTAAAATAATACTGTAGGTACGTGTTTAATGATTTATATTTTTACGACAAATTCAATTATATAAAAAGTAAATACGCATTTAAGAAATAATATTATTGTTTACCTCGTGCGCTATATATAATATATTACCCATATAATTATTATACTTGCAAAATATATGAAACTGTATGTACAATGCAACACGCAGTGGCATATATACACATAATTTTACAGTAATTTTCATTCGAAATCGTTCTGCACTATAGGTACCTGTCTATATTACATCCAGTGGCGGATCGAGGGAAGGGGCAGAGTTCTTGTTCACCCAGACTATAGACCATACGGAAGTTTTTAGTTCTACAAATGAAGAGTACAAGGAAACAACCAGAAAAGTAATTTTTTTTTCAAAAATGACGATATTGGTATCAAACAAATTTGTATTGATGTACAGTATTTTTCGAGCGATCGACCCACCGAAAATATCAAATTAGTCGAGAGAAATGAGCACCAGAAGTTTAAGCTAAGTTTTAAAAAAAAGTAGATAACCAAACTGATAACCAAACAAGTGTTGGATTATTCCACGGCTATAGTCGTGATTAATAGTATAACATATAATATAATATGCATTATCGTACTGTGGTTACTACATTTTCAAAGTTTAATACTTAATTTATTTCGAACTTTTTACCCTGTAAAAAATTTTTTGTATGTTTTGAAATTAAAAATATGTTTTTTTTTAAATTGAAAAAAATAAGGCTTTTCTGTTTTTTACCCTGTACTCTTCAAATAATTAATTGTTTAATGCATATATAATAGAATATTTTCAAGGAAGAAAAGTAGAGAGGAGCGATATGTACTGATATGATACTATGATGCATTATTATTTTTAAATTTTTTTTTTCTGTCTATAAATAAATTTTCTACCAGAAATACTTACTCAAATAAAAAAAAAAAAGTTATCAATGGTTTATCGGTGATTACAGATATAAATTAAATAACCCTATGTGTCCTACCTTTTTAATTTCCCACCTACAATTGTGACTGCACCCATCCCTACAGTATCACCTTTTTTTGTTTAAATTAGTATATTTTTTTAGGAGGCCCTCCCAAATTTCAACTCTATATCCACCACTGATTACATGGTACCTACATTAAATGCGACTGTAGTTTTCTTAAATGATATAGATTTTTAATTTGTAGGTTATTAACTCGTAAGCAATGTAAGTAATATTATTTAACGCGTTTTTAGTGTATATTAAATGTATTATATTTTTGATTCGACATGTTGGTAAATGGTTTTCACCTTCCTATTTAAATACAATTAAATCATTTAAATCAAATATTTATACAAATTATATAATTCTATTTATCTAATACGTTTATACTAAAGACTGTGTATGAATTTTTAAGTATATTAATCAATAAGCTGGAAACAAAATATAAGTTGCATTTTACTTGTTGGCTGTTACCCAAATAATATTCAACTTTTACAATACGCTAACATGACACTATTATGTTCTGTATTTATATAAAATTCTATTTTAAACAATGTGTTTAAAACAATCAACGCTGTAACGTATAAAGCGCGAAATGTATTGGTTTTATCATAGATTAGGATTTGATTTTAGGAATCTTGTTCCGATCATTAAATTCTGGAATGGCTTCTGGTAATAAATGTTTTTTATTATTAAAATATAGGAGAGGTCATTTTTTAAATTTTCTTTTAGTTTTTAATAGTTGGAAAAACTGAGAAAATTTAGACCTGATATTTTAACCGAATACTTAATATTAGCCCTTTTTAGACAAAATATTCTTAAGATTTTCAGCTATTTTTAATTTTCTAGTTTCTAGTTATTTGATTTATGTAGATACAATTATTTTGCTCCAACTCTACTTAGAGACAAAATAGTAAGAAAAAAGTTAGCGTAATTTAGTAAAATTTTAGATTTTGAGCAGCAAAGCTCATTACATCAATTTTAGTTTTAAAAATCTGTGTTTTTCTTTATTCGTTTCACCCACATACAGTACAGTTAAACGAATTCCACTCAGAATCGTACATTGATTGGCTTGCAATAATTTATCATTGTGCTTACCCGTGATGTGAAGTTTGTCCCGTCCGGATTTTTAGTTTTTTTTATTATTTGTGCTTTTGTAGTTTTTTTTTTTGAAACACCATAAATATTAATTTTAATTTATGATATAGTGTAAGTTGATACGAAAGTATGCGATAAAATATTACAATTGAATAAGTTACATAAAAATAGCATGTGCTAAAAATACAATACATGTATCTTTGTTAGTTCAGATCGTTGTGTAACTACTAAGATTTCTCATATAATATTTATTATAATTGTCACGAAATCATCGAGCGAAGAACGCTGTATTACGGTGACGCGTAACGTTATGATATTTTATAAATTAAATTTTCAATAAAATTAACTGTTAATAAATTGATTTTGTATTATATTTTTGAATTTTCTTTAATAGTCTATTGTATTGTATTATGCCTGTTGTATAATGGCTAAAGTGGAGAGGGACAGAGCGCAAATTTCCAATAGCATTGACATTTTCAATAATGAAATAAACTCAACTTTGGAAGAAAAAGCGAGTTTTAAATCTAATGAAAATGAAAATAATATATCTGACCCCGGGNTAAATCAAGTAAAGATTTCAACTATCCTAGAGATGCGTTAAATCGACGGTTTCCAATTTCAATTTTAAGTAAAGCATTAAAAAATGGTGAAGTTATACAACGTACGTGGTTAATTTATTCTGTTAAAAATGATGTTGTGTACTGTTTTTGGTGTAAAATATTTAGTATTGAAAATTATGCACTAAATAAATTTGGCTGTAATGATTGGAAAAACGTACACAATATAGTTAAAGAACATGAAACGAGCAAAATACATTTTAGTTCTTTAAAAAAATGGATGGAACTGTCTGCTAGATTAAATAGCAATCAAACCATAGATGCTGCCCATCAACGTGTATTAAATAATGAAACTCTGAATTGGCAAAATGTACTTGAGCGTTTAATGGCAATCATTGAATTTCTTGGTAAACAATGTTTACCTTTTCGAGGTACAAACGATTTTCTTTACAAAAACAATAATGGCAATTTTCTCGGACTAGTACAGCTGCTGTCAAAATTTGATTGTGTTTTATCAGAACATGTTCGCAGAATTCAAAATAAGGTGATTCATAATCATAATCTAAGTAAGGGGATTCAAAATGAAATTTACATTTACTTTCTCAAGCAATTAAAAATAAAATACTTGAAAAGTTAAAAAATGCTAAGTATTATTCAATAATTGTAGATTATACACCCGATAGAAGTAGAGTGAAACAAGTGTCAATAACTATACAGTTTGTTGATATTAACCGAGATACAAAAAAAGTAGATTATTTGTGAATATTTTCTTGGATTTATTCCGGTTGATATTACCACAGGTCAGGAACTTACAAATACAATATTGTCAGAATTAAGAACAAATAAAATTCCAATACAGGATATGCGAGGGTAAGATTATGATAATGGTTCAAATATGAAAGGACATCATTTTGGTGTACAAAAAAAAAAATTTAGATATAAATAGTCGTGCTTTTTTTGTACCATGTCATGCTCATACACTAAATTTAGTTGTAAATGATACTGCTAAATCATCAACTGGAGCAAACAAATTTTTTATTCAAATTCAAGCCATATTTGTATTTTTAAGTGGTTCTACTCATCGATGAGCTGTTTTAAAAAAACATATAACACAATTAACTTTAAAGCTATTAAGTGAAACTAGATGGGAGAGTGGAATAGATGCAATAAGACCATTCAAATATCAAACAGGTGAAATATTTGATGCATTATACGAAATAAGTCAGGCTATCTTTTGATTAAATTACCTGATTAGAAGCTGAATCTTTAGCCAAAAAAATTAAAAATTTTTAACTTTGTGTGCTGCGTTGTAATTTGGCACTCAATTTTTAATCAAATAAATCTAGCAAGTAAAGTGTTACAGAAAGTAACATTAGATATATCTGGCGCAGAAAATATTTTATCTGAAATTATTAATTTTTAAAAAAAAATTCGATGTGATGAGAATTTTAATAAATTTTTAAAAGATGCCGAAACCATAGCTCTCGAATTTGATATTGAGGCTTCTTCCTCGAAACAAACTTCTATACGCCCACGAAAAAATGAAAACAGTGTTCTTTTCTTATGAACAACCAGATGAACCCATAATTAATTTAAAAACTAAATTTAAAGTTGAATTATACTTTTATATATTAGCTCTCAATTCTCTCGAAGGAAGATTTGAACAATTACATAACCACTGCGATAATTTTAAATTTTTGTATGACACAAGTAGTCTAAAAAGTATAACGAAAGATAATATTGTGAAAATTTGTATGGATCTTAAATTGCTACAATTAGAAAATGAAAATGTTAGTAAATCAGATATTGATGCCATAGAAATGACAGATGAGTTAGTAGCAATATCCGAGTTATTAAAACCCAACAGTACCCCATTAGAAGTTTTACAGTTTATTGTAAATAATAACAATTTTGTACCAAATGTANAAATAATTAAAAATTATTTGAGATCTTCTATGAATCAAGAAAGGTTAAGTGATCTTGCTACAAATTCTATTGAAAAAGAAGTAATGGAAAATCTGGAGTTTAAAAATTTACTGACTGATTTTGCCCAAGAAAAGGCTCGCAAAATTAATTTTATTTAATATATTTTTAATTTTGTAGTTATATATTTTTTAATGTTTAATTAAATACATATTGTTGATCTGTGATAACGATAATGAATGTATAACGATGGGTAAAACTATTACTTGTTCTATTTAATACCCAACATTTATTTTAATTTTATTATTATTATTTTATATTTTGTAAAGAAAACTGAGGTCAGTCAAAACATTTTTTTTTAAAAATAAAACAAAGGTTCATAGTTAAAAACGAATGTCCATATTTTATTTAACCCCCTCTTCTTCAAAAAAATAACTATTGCATAGGGCAGCGTAAATTAGATTTGCCTAGGGCGGCAAAAACCTACGGCCGGCCCTGATTATTATATTTAAACATAGGTATAATATTATAATGGCTGTTATATATAGGACAAATTTTAAATATAAAGACAAATAAATTGATTGAATTGAATTAATTATTATATTACATTGTGCTTGAGTATTATATTATTAAGGTTATTATTTTATCTTTTAAAAAGTGGGTGGTCGTGGATACAGTTTTTAAGCTATCATATGTTTTCATCACGACCACCCCGTTAGAAATAAAATATATCGTTTCGAACGTACTATTAAAATATTATTATGTTAAGTGCAATATTGATTGTAGTATACGCAGGTACGATCCTAATACATATTTTATTATACAATATAATGACTTCAATATTACATTTGCGTTATTTAAAAAACGAATATATTTTTTTTGCGCTGTTATTCCATTCGAATGCATTTTTATACGTTTTTATAAAGGTAAAACCAATTTTTATTGTTTTTTTTTTTTTTTAGATAATTAAAGGAATGTTTTGGTTAATATTCGTTTGTTTATTCTCTTTGTCTGGTATATATTGACACATACATGCCACAATTTCGTATGTAGCACACACATTTTTAAACGTGTAGAGTAAGGTGTTTGATGCACACGTGAATACGTGATTACTTAAACTTAATGTGAAATGATTATTACACATACCAGATGATCTATTGTGGGTACACTCATTATCTCAAAAAATATTAACTTTTTAAGTTTTCTAGAACATTTAATAAACAAGCTGCTCTATAATTTTATATTTATTTTATTTTTTGTCACCCTTATTTTTAAGAGTTTAACCACTACTTAATTTTGATTTTCAAATGGCAATCTATATTAAAAATTCCATAAATAAATGGAGTATTATTTAAAATAAATTTTAGTATCATATTATGGTATTATTTAATTTCTTTAATAATATTTGTTTAATGTACCGATTTTACTATTTTTCCTACGTTTTCCCGGTTTTTTTTCTGAATTTTCATCTACGATTTTCTTTTGGAAAAGGTGCTACACTTAAAAATCGGAGTAAGATCTCTGGTAGAAAAGTTGTCACAGATAAAAAAAAAAAATAAATAAATATCTTTGTAAAACCATAAGCTTTTTCGCTCCACTCAGAATCTAAAATAGTTGGGAAAACCAGAAACAAAATTAAAGGAAAAAGGCCAAATATTTACGATGCACTGCGGGGTTATCAAATTGTTCTTAATTTTCACGCACTATATTTTCTACCAAAAATATTTCTTTAATCAATAAATGCCAAGTGACCTATTTTGTTCAATTTTGGATTTTGCTGAGAAATTCATTTTTTTTTTTATAATAATTATTGGAAAAGCCAGAAAAAGATCTTAAAAGAACATTGACAAATTTACGACGATATGATTTCATTATTTTAATTTGTATGCATTGTTTTCTACCAGAAATATTATTCCAATCGAAAAACGATAAGAGATCTTTTTTTCGTAATCTAGATCTAGTGGATTAACCGTAAGATATTTTTTTGTTTTCCGTGTATTTTTTTGAATAATTAATCAAAACCAGACAAAAATTTAGAAAGATTGTGACATTTTACAGAATTAATGGTTTTATTTTTTTGTTGTATTAATTTTCAATTATTTGTAGGGACTTAAAATTTTGAGTTTGTGAGTTTTTACGTAGTTTTTATCTGATATGTATTCATTGTGTATAATGTGGATATATAACTGTTCGACAAAACACAAATGATTTAAAATTTCACAGAAGATTCATTTTACGTTGTACTTAGTGATCAAAGAAAAAAAAGTATAATGTCATGAGTAATTTTTTTTTTATAATGTTTTTAAGATCAAAATCGTAAATATTACGGCTTTTCTTATATAATAAATTTCACCCAAAATCGTTGTTCTTTAGCAATGGTTTATCGTTGCTTAAATATAATGATATTTGAAATAAATTAAATAACTTTATGTATTCTACTTTTCCCATCTACAACAGTGATAGTGTACATTAACAGTATCAGCCTTTTTTTATTTTATTTGATATTTATTTGAAATCTCATCGCTCATGATATTATTTGATCGATCAAGATAATAATTTTAAAACGATACTTAGATTTTATCATTGACATTTTTGAATAAAAGTTATTAAATACAAAAAAAAAAAATAACGTTAAAATAACTTACTGAATTAATATTTTATTCGTTATACAAATAACAAAAAAAAAAAAAAAGGTATTCTGGTAAATCCATTTTAACTTTGGTTGGGTTGGATTATCTTTATCCCATACATCGCAAACGATGCCAATGTTGTATTTTTTGCGGAAGTACCACATTTACAGTTTATTAGTGAAATGTAGGTATGCATTTTACGTGATCAAACAATATTAAAAATATATTTTTTTTTATAAAGTAATAAAACAAAAATAATTAAAAACTACTTTATTATATATAGATTATATTTTTTATATTAGACCTATTGGCTATTTATAAAGTTATTTTTTTTTTTTTTAAAGGACTCTACACCCGCATCTACTGTCTTAATCTAATTTTCGAAAGCTAACAAAATTATTTCACTAAGAACTGAATTGTGCCATTTATATTGAAGTTACAGTTTGAATTCAAACAAAAAAAATGTAAAGAGGTGAGTATTACCGAGGACCGTAGCTTTTTTTCTAAAAGATTGTCAGACAAAATAGTTACAGCTATTTAAAAAAAACAAAAATGAAAGTATGATTATAACTTCTTTGTATGACAAATTTTTGAAAAAAAAATAACCTCCAAAATTAATGACAAGTATTATATTAGCGATGTTCTAGTATATATGAGATGTTGATGACACAGTTAACAAGTATAAATTGTAATAACATTACAGATATGTAAATTAAAACAACGACGTATTGAAACAATTGATATTGGGAAGCTAGATTTTTTAATCTGATAATCCATATTTTTATTAAACACCAGTACTCCCACTGGCGAGTACAGCTAAAGGGGCTAGGGGACCACGTTTATGGGGGTCATCGTATATATATACGAGCATATAAAATGCTCGTTAAGAACTTGAAGTAACTACAAAAATTTACATGACATGTATATAAAGGGGACCTATTTTCAAGTATTTTAAGTTCAGCCCGAGGTCTACTGGACACCTTCAATAAGGCCTTAACCATTGGTAAAGTTAACAAAAAAAAAAAAAAAATAAAATAAAGATAATAATAATATTTGAGATATTAAATAATATAATATATTATATGTGTGCATACATATAACAAAATATTACTTATTAAATAGCTAGGTATATATTTATTTTTATTTTTCGTATGTTTAAATATTTGACATCTATTACAATATAAATTATAAATTTGAAACTACCATCATAATTATCATAAACTATACCACTTGTAAGTGCGTCCTAGCCGCCACTGAGTAGATAGGTACCTACTAAAAGTGTGTTTGAATTTGAAGGTATAATATAAGAGATGATCTAATCAGAATAATAGTTAGGTATAATATTATTGTATGTTTTGGATTTGTACCGTTATGAATGATACGATGATATCATAATATAATAAACATTTTAAAATTAATTTCTTATTTTATACGAACAGGAGGGAATATTGCATATACGAGTAGATATAATATTATACAGATTATAGCTGTTGCAGCGATTCAATATGTGATTTATTACTTTGAATATTTTGAACAAGTGAATTTAAATTATTCTTACGTATATATTATAATATAAGCATATCTAATCTGAAAGCCAATCTTTATAGAACTATTGATTCAATTATTCCAAACTATGACGTGGTAATGGTTAATTTATAAGGTTAGACGAATGAATTTTAATAACAAATATATAAATAAAACAATAATAACGCGTACGTATAATTCAAAAAAAAATATATACATATTTTTACGTCAATATATAATAAAATTAAAAAAAAAAAAATGTTTTAATCTCATTTCGAATCAGCTGAATTTGTTTAATAGTATCTATTGCCAGCCATATAGAAAATTAAAGATATTTGGCGGTGATTTTTGCAATGCTGTAGATTTGATGTATAAATATGACGGCAAATATAAAAAGAGAAATTTTTTTTTAAAACTAAAAAAAATGAATACATTTAATTTCAAGTCATCTTTACGATCATTATTAATATCTACCTATATATTTTAAAAAATATTGCAATGCTCAGCAACGGGTATAAACGTGTTAAAATAGGTAGGTATATACTCGTATACAATATATTTGTAATTCTGTATGCCAGTATCAAATAACAATTTGATAATATTGTATTCGTAATTTATATCGTATTTTTTTTCATAATATTCAGTTCCTGATTGGGATACGTTTTAGTGTTTTATTTTTTAAAATTATATTTAGAGGACACTACACTCGTATATTGGGCTGTTTTCGGAATAGTATTTTTGCTAAGCAGAGATCACTTTGAAGTGCAGTTAGTTTTGATATTAGGATAAAAAATACTTTCTATTTGGTTAAAAATTAATGTATCAAAAAATAAAACATGTTAATATACACGAGAAGAATGTTCTTGTTTTCAAGTTTGTTAATAGATTAATTCGCTTAAATATTAAAACTAATAGAGCAAAATTTATCCTTATGAACTCGATTTTGTTATGTAGTACATTTGTAAAATAGATACAGCACATGTGGGTATAGCATCCTTTACTAAGGT